TAAGTAAATACTATTCAAGTTACTGTGTTTTCCTCTTTATTGTTGAAAGAATAATTGTACACAGGTCTTCCTTCCTTCCCTCCTTCCTTCTCAAGTTTATCACAACAGCATGTTCCACCATCAGCCAGCCTGGATGAGAGGGGTGTTTGGGGGAGAATGGATACATGTATACGTATGACTGAGTCCCTTCACTGTCCACCTGAAACTACCACAACATTGTTAATCAGCTATATGTCAATACAAAATAAAAAGTTTAAAGTCAAAAAAATTAAAACCTATTTTTCACATACATGTGTTCGTGTTTCCCCTCATTTTCTTGCCCCAAATGGTTTTGCCATCTCGGGCCTGTAACAGAAAACCCTTGTTTCAGTCACAAGTAGCTGTTTGATAGCATTTCCCCTCCTCATGGGCTTCTGAGACCTTTTTCTTCCTTCTCACTGAACCTCAGGAATGGTGTCTAGGTAAGTGCCAAGCCAGAGAAGCAAGAAATATTTAAATTCCACTCTACAGGCAGTTTTTACTGTTGTTGAGAAAAGCTTCTTGTTGAAGAAATGTGGTCAATTTGTTAAGGTTGCCCTTTCTCCTGAAGTCCACCGTATTTAGGTTATTTATGCATTTTAAAAGGCATGTAAACACATTATGCAAATGCATCACTTTGGAGTTATCCTCCATTTATCCAGAGAGCATTTGAAACTTAGTCAGCTACCCTGCAGAATTTCTCTATCACCAGGACAGGTGCTGAAAACTCCGTGCCTCCCTCCTATGAGAGAGCCACTGAGGTTTCCACAAGCTTCCTACTTAGAAGGTGAGACTAATGGGCATATTAGGTTTGCAGACTTACAGAAGTTTTATTCATGAACTATTTCAACCATACAGAAAATAATATAACAGATCCCCATGTACTCACCATCCATATTTAACAGATGTTAAAAGAGTTTTGCTATCCTAAAAATTTACCAACTAGACCTTAAAGCTGGTAGGTGTGATAGATAGTGCAAGCTGATGAGAGGTTCGAGGCAGGCACCCTAACCAGGTAAGAAACTAAAAGAGGAGATAGCAAATTCTAAAACTAGATTCAGGACTAGAGAAAACAAAAACATAATTGTCTGGGCCCACTTGGATCAGAGGTAAGTACCTCTCCTGCTTCATAGTAATAGGACAGTATGTTTTACTGATAACCCCAAACCATCAATAAAAGATTAGATTATATTCCACTCATGCTATTGCTAGAGAAGGAAAGCTAGTGGACAACCAACCTGAAAAACATTTGAGTAAATGAAAAGTTTAAAAATCAAGTTTGACACTCAAAGAGGGTAGACTTTCAGTTTTGTGAAAATTTGACACATTTTTCTGGGGTTCTTGTGTTGAGAAGAGTGAAAGTTCTTTACTGGGAACATAGTTGTCTTTGAATTTGGGACATTTTTAAGGTTGTTTTTTTTTTTGCTCAAGAACCACATACGTGCAGAAAAGTACCTAAATCATAAGGGACGTGTTTTCATTGCATGAGCACACTCATGCTCGCATCATGAAACAACTTCCCAGGCACCCCTGAATCCCCCCGGTAACCCTTGAACTCTCCTCAGCCTTGATAACTTCCTGTTCTAACATCTGAGCTTAGTTTTTATTTTGGAAATTTTGGGTATAATATGACCCAGATTAGGGAGGAAAAGTTGTCATGATTCATGGCTCATAATTTGCTTTTCAGGGAAACATCCTGAGTATTTCCTTTATGCATGTGGATGCATCCATTCAAGTTCTGCAATCTAAGAGTCCTTCCCCCTGGGTGGTGCCTGGAGGTTATGATGATGGTGATGATGATGATGGTGATAACAATAATATTAATCTAAAAATACATTGATATTGAGCAAACTACTTCACCTCTCTGTGCCTCCACTTCCTCCTCTGTGTAGTGGTAATAATAACTATGCCTTCCTCACAGAGTTGAGTTGATCATTATAATGTAGACAAGTAAAGCACTTAGTATGGTGCCTACTACCTTGCAAGGGCTCTGGATTTTGTGTGTGTTTCTGTGTGTGTGTGTGTGTATCTCTGTGCCCTCATATTTCTGCCCTCAAAGACATTGAAGTAGGGATGAGAAAGGATGTTGAACTAGCTTTTATTTTTTAAATTTCATTTTTTTTTTTTTAGCTGTGTCATACAGCTTGTGGGATCTCAGTTCCCTGACCAAGGATTGAACCTTGGCCACAACAGTGAAAGCCTGGAATCCTAATCACTAGGCAACCAGGGAACTTCCTGAACTAGCTTTTAAAAGCATAACTTTTGGGAATTCCCTGGTGGACCAGTGGCCAGGACTTGGTGCTTTCACTGTCAGGCCTGAGTTTAATCCCTGGTTGAGTGACTTCCCTGGTAGCTCAGATAGTAAAGCGTCTGCCTACAATGCGGGAGCCCCGGATTCAATCCCTGCATTGGGAAGATCTCCTGGAGAAGGAAATGGCAACCCACTTCAGTATTCTTGCCTGGAAAATCCCATGGACGCAGGTGCTTGGTAGGCTATAGTCAGTCCATGGGGTCACAAAGAGTTGGACATGACTGAGCGACTTCACTTTCACTTTGGGGAACTAGGATCCTGGAAGCTACAGGGCAAAGCACGCCCTAAACATATACCTTTTAAGGTGTTGTATTAAATGGTTTGAAAAGATTTATTGACTATAGAAATGATTACCTGCAAAGTTTCTATGTCCTCAAGGAAATATTGATATAATCAATCAACATTTATAAGATAGCCATATATGCACTAAAATGAGTAGGTAGTCAACCTTCAGAATTTGGATTAGATAAAAGGAATACTGTCCTAACTGTGATGCCTGCCTCTCAAGTGTTAGACTAGAACCAAAGAATAGGAAGATTGACATCTTGTGCTGAAAGCTTTAAAGTGGCTGAATTCACATCTATTAATATCTTTGTAAGTTTTTTGTGTTTTTGCCTGAAAATGGACAAGATAATCTTTTACATTTTATGATACAATTAAGTTTCTTATACTCAAAATATAAATGTCTTTGAAGGGAAAAGGCAGCAGCTCCTGCTTCTACTTCTTTTCTGGAATTAAGAAATTTATGTGACCCATTGCTAATATAATGGAACCCATTTTCCAAGAGAGTATTCTTTAAACTTTTTCAACCTGCCATACATTTCCAGATATTTAAATTTTCCCTGAAATCAACATAAGGAGTGGCATGAGGGTAGGTTGGGGCAGGATATTGCCTTCCAAACAAAATTAATTGCATGCTGGATAGGATGGCCATATAATCTATTGATTAATCCAGGACACTAAGAAAAAGCTTTTCAGGAATCTTTTTGCTGAATTTTACTCTACATGCAGAAAAGCATACGTATAAATGTATAGCTTAATGCATCTTCCCTCAGTGATTGATTATCTGTGTAACCAGCACCTAGGTTGAAAATCAGATTGTTAGCAGGAACCCAGAAATCCCTCGTGCATTCCTTTCCAGTTGCTATACCCCTTCTTCACAAGGGCAACCACTATCGTGACTTTTCTATTTTTTTAGTCTTTTATTTATTTGTTTATTTATTTAAAGTATCTGGCAATTAATTAATTAGGTTTTGGCCACCTGGGGTCTTAGTTCCCTGACCAGGAATCAAACCCATGTCCCTTGCATTGGAAGCATGGAGTCTTAACCACTGGATTGCCAAGGAAGTTCCTGTCTTGATTTTTCTTATTGCAAAGATGAGTGTTGCCTATTTTTATGTTTCGTATCAATTGAATCATACAGTGTATATTTGCTTACATCTAGTTTCTTGGCATTGACATTATAGATTGATCGTATCATTGGGTGAAGTTCTAGTTTTAGATCATTCATGCCATGGTATGAATATATCACAATTTATTTATTCAGTCTCTTAATGATGAACATTTGGGAATTTCCCAGGTTTTGGCCACAACAAATAGTGCTATAATACTACTCTTAATACATGTCTTTTGGTGAACATATGTATATGTTTCTTTGGGGTGTATGCCCAGGAGTAGAATTAATAAATCATAATGGCTCAGTGGTAAGAATCCACCTGTCAATGCAGGAGACATGGGTTTGATCCCTGGGTTGGGAAGATTCCCTGGAGAAAGAAATGGCAACCTACTCCAGTATTGTTGCCTGGAAAATCCTATGGGCAGGGGAGCCTGGTGGGCTACCATCCTTGGGGTTGCAAAAGAGTTAGACATGACTTAGCAACTAAATAACAACAAAGGGTATGCATAAGTTTAGCTATTAAGTAATAGATACTGCCAGTTTTCCACAGTGTTGGTTCTCATTTAAACTCTTAGCAGCAGAGCATGAGAGTTCTTGTTGTTTCATAGCCTCTCCAGTACTCAGTATTTCCCGTGTTCGGCCATTCAGACATGTGGTTGAGGTATTCTCATTTCTCTGTTGACCAATTAAGTTGATATCTTTATTATGTTTACCAGTCACTTGGATATACTCTTTTATGAAATACTTAGATATACTCTTTTGTCTATTTAAATCTTTGTGCTTATTTTTTTCTATTCTTTAGCCGGTCTTTTTCTTGTCAAATTAAGGTACTTATATGAAAAAACCAGACCATAAGATTAAGAGTTTAGTTTTGAACATGTTGTGTTTGAGATATTTGAGAGGCATCTATGTGGAGATGTCAAGAAGCCATTGGAATTATGTAGGTCTGGAGTTCAGAAGAAAGTTCTGGGCTGGAGATGAGAATTTTGGAGTCCCAACCATGGAGGTAGCATTTTAGTGAGAGGCTAATGAGATCACCCACAGAGAGAGGAAAAAATCCTAAGACTGAGCCTGAGAGGCATCAAGGTTCATTCGTAAGCTGGGAGTAAAGAAGATGCCAGCAGAGAGCTCAAGAAGGAACCACAGAGAGGCAGGGAAGAGAGGAGAAGCAGAAAAGGGTTTCATAGCAGGGAGTGTTCATGTGTCAAAATGTTTATCACGTGTTGGTTAAAACAACAGCAACACTGCATTCTGCCCCCTTTTTTCTCTCTCCAGCCATCATTGTATACAGACTGCCATGGACCTGGAAATGCAGCAAGCTCCTGATGAAATCCATCCATGCGGGGCTAAACACTGTTGCTGCCATTCTTGCAATTATTTCTCTGGTGGCTGTTTTTGATTTCCACAATGCCAAGAAGATCCCCAATATGTACAGTCTGCACAGCTGGGTTGGACTGACAGCTGTCATTCTCTACATCTTACAGGTCAGTATCTCAGTGTATTTCTAAACAAGATAAAGCAGTTCAGATACTGTTGATGTTTTCTGTTCATTCATAGTTTCTTGGAAATCATTTCATTTCCACTAGTCATCATTCAGTTTGTTTCCATTATAAGTATTTTCCCCTGAGGGGGGCACCAGAATGCAGAACTCACTTATGAGCATGATTGTGAGGTTTTAAATATGGACATATGTATGTTGAGAAAGTGCCATCTCTTTATTTCTAGGTTGCCATCGTTTGCACTTTAAATTCCATGTGCTGGATGAACTAGCACAGGCAAGAGCTCTATATTTCTTTCCCACATTCCCTGTCATTTCTATTTTCTAAGTTTATGAGTAAAGAGATGAATTTTTACATCTTTGTTAGATTTTGAAGGCTCAGTGATTGTTTTATTTTCATTTCACTTATTAAATGTCTTTATTTATTAAAAACACATACTCTTGAGAGCACTATTTTTAAACATATTAATGGAGTGAGATAGGAATTTGGCTGTCCCAAGGTCACAAAAGTAAAGGTTAATTTTTAAAGTTTTTGGTGTTAACCATTTTGTTGAAAAATCTTTGTAAACTGTGTCAATTCAGTTCCCTTCCTTAGTACATATATCCAACTCCTGATTGGGACATCATTGTGAACTTACTTTCCTGTGGCTATAGGAGACGAAAAGGGAGTGAGTTTGTAAAACAACTGAAGCAATTTGCATGCATGCACATTTATTTTATTCTAATTGTTTTAAAGAACCAGCTTTTCATTTTATCTATAATTTCTTCTATTTTTTTTTAAAAATTTATGGTTCTAATAGGCTAAATCACTCCCCTTCCCAAAGATATCTACAACTTAATCCCTGCAAGCTGTGAATACATTATGCTACACTTTAAATTCTAGTTGATTATTTTTCTTTTCACTTTCTGTATCTTCTAAATATACATGCATTTCTTGTATAACAATAAAAAGCTTTTAAAGCAAAAACAAAGTTTCTTATACTAGATCTTTTAAGCTGGAATTTCTGAAAACCAATTTTATGCTGTGCTCTATATCTTAATATGTAGGATTAAGAAATATATAGGAATTAGCAAAAAAGAGAATATTTATTCTAAAGTTTATGGGTCTTAGGTAAAATGGTTCTCAGAGGAATATAGGCTTAAATGTGTTTGTTTATTGGAAAGAAAAACTTAAAATATGTAAATGAAATATTCACTTGAGAAAATAAAAGATTGATTATATCTCAGTAAAACAAGAAGGGAAAAAAGAAAATAAAAAAGAACAGCAAAATATACAAGGAATAGTAAAGACCCCCTCCCTCCCATCCAAAAAAAATCTGTGAACAATTATATTATTTTCTGTTGTTGCCATAACAATTTACCACAAACATGGGGCCTTAAAACAACACAAATATATTACCTCACAGTTTCTGTACATCAGAAATCCATGTTGGCTTGGCTGGTTTCTCTGTTCAGGGTCTCACAAGGCCAAAATCAAGGTGTTAGCTGGCTTGGGCTTTTATAGAAAGACTCTAGGGTAGAATCAACTTGCAAAATAGTTCAGGTTGTTGGCAGAGTCTAGCTCCTTGTGCTTGTAAGCCCGAGGTCCCAGTCTCTCACTGGCTATTAGCTCAGGGTTGTCCTTAGCTGCTTACTCTGTTCTTGCACATGGCTCCCCTCCATCTCACTGGCTTGGAATCTCTCTGACTTCTCCCTCTTTCTCCTCTTCATCTCTTCTTCCTCCAGCCAAAGTTCTCTGCTTTTGAAAGGGTTTATGTGATTAGATTGGGCTGCCCATATAATCCAGGGTTTTCCCCCAATCAGAAGAAACCATAACCTTAATTACATAAGGAAAGTATCTTTTGCCTTGTAGCATAATGTATTCACAGCTTGCAGGGATTAAGTTGTAGACATCTTTGGGAAGGGGAATGATTTAGCCTATCAGAACCATAAATTTTTAAAAAAATAGAAGAAATTATAGCTAAAAGGAAAAGCTGGTTCTTTAAAACAAGTAGAATAAATGTGCATGCATGCAAATTGCTTCAGCTGTGTCCAACTCTTCACGACTATGGACTGTAGCCCACCAGGCTTCTCTGTCCATCGAGTTCTCCAGGCAGGAATACTGGAGTGGGTTGCCATGTCCTCCTCCAGGGGATCTTCCCAACCCAGGGACTGAACCCACATCTCCTACGTCTACTGCATTGGTAAGTGTGTTCTTTATCACTAGCACCACCTGGGAAGCCCAGGATAAAAATAGATAAACCACTGCAAATATGACTGAGAAAAAGCATAACATACACATTGTTCAGAATTTTAAAAATATAGTCACAGATACAAATAATATTTTAAAATTAGGACAGTTTATTAAATTTTAATAATATGGTAATATTATTAAAAATCTTAAAGAAAAAATGGTTATTTTCTTGCCAAGTATAAACTAACAATTTGACCCAAAAGGAATTAGAAAACCTAAGCAGACCAATGACATTATAAGCAATTGCTAAGGTCATTTGAAATCTGTCATTAAAAAAGACATTAGTTCCATGTTGTTTTATACTTTGACCTACAAGGAACTAATACTTTAAACTGATCTAGTACACTGGGAGAAAACAAGCTCCTCTTAGATGTGGCCCCATTGTGTACTGCATACTTCATCTCTAAGGAGGCAGCTTTAATAATAAACACCTTTAAACATCTAACAGCAAACATAAGCTTAAACTCTGAAATACTGAAGACATTTCCATTAAATAAATAAAACACTGATGTTTGCAACCTTTGTATTCAATTTCATTTTAGAGGTTTTAGCTAATGTACAGCTAATGAAAAAAATACATATAAATAATAGAAAATTTGTGACTTTTTTTTTCTGTTTGAAGATCATATGAATATCTGGAAATCCAAGAGATGACTAAATTATGAAAGAATTTGGAAAGGTATCTGGATAAAAGACAGCCAGCAGAATCCAATAACTTTTCCCTGTACTAGAAATAGCCACTTAGAATAGGAAGTAGAATCCTATAAATCTTACAGTGCAGTACTATAAAATTTTACTGAAAAATAGAAAATATGGTATGAAGAGAGGAATACCATGCTACTGAGAGAGAAAAATTAATATAGAAACATTCTTCCCTCTTCAACTGTATTTTTATTTATTATAATTTTAAACTCAATGGGAGTTTTAAACTGTATGCAAAAGAATAAGTACCCAAGGATAACCAAGAAAATTTTGAAGAAGTAGAGGGAGACCTGCTTTATTCAAAACAAGGTATTCCCACAGGAATAAACAAAGTATATTCATGGCAAGAACACAGAAGACAGACAGTATATATAATAACTTTTTCTATGACATTATAGTATTTTAATTTACCAGGGAAAGAATGCTTATTTAATCAATGTTAGCATCATAACTGGCTGTCCATTTGGAGGAAACCAAACAAAAAGACTGTGTACATCACACAAAAGAAAAAAAAGATTCCAGATACAATAGATTAAAGATATGGATATAAAAAAATCCAAAATCAGACAAAAGAGAAAAAGAAAATTAAAAAGCATGTAATCTGTGTAATACTGAGGTAGGGGAGGCTATAAGGTTGACAAGAAATCTAGAAACCATGAAGGAAAAGAAAGACATATATGACCACATAAATTTTTTTAAAATTATTTTCATCTCTCAGGATCTTTTGGGGATTGGTTCCAGGACCCTCTCAGATACCAAATTCCAAAGATGTCCAAGCTCCTAGTATAAATTGGTGTGGTATTTGCATATAGGACTTCCCTGATGGCTCAGATGGTGAAGAATCAGCCTGCAATGAGGCAGATCTGGGTTCAGTCCCTAGGTTGGGAAGATCCCTTGCAGGAGGGCATGGCAGCCCGCTCCAGTATTCTTGCTCGGAGAATCCCCGTGGACAGAGGAGCCTGGCAGGCTACAGTCCATGGGGGTGCAGAGTCGGACTCGACTGAGTGACTAAGCACACGTTTGCATGTAACCTATATGCATCCTCCCATATACTTTAAATCTGTAGATTACTTACAATACCTAATACAGTGTAAATGCTAGGTGAATACAATGTAAATCCTATATAAATAGTTCCTGGTCTATGGCAAATTCAAGTTTTGCTTTTCAGAACTTTCTGCAGTTAATTTTTCTGAACATTTTTTTAAATCTGCAGTTGGTGAAATTTATATATTCTGAACCTGGGGCTGTAGAGTGTATATGTGACAAAAGATAATAAAGTCGGCAGGAACTGCACAAGGAGATATGGGGCATAATCCTGTCATGTGTTAAGGGTTAATGTGTTTAATATACAAAACAACTCCTAAAAATTAATAATTAAAAAGTCAACCTAATAGAACTATGAACAAAAGATTTGAACACAGTTCAGATAAGAAAGAATTAAATCACCAATGAGCATATGAGAAAATGTCCAACCTCACTAAGAAATTAGAGAAATGTAAGTTAAAATAACAATAAAATATCATTTTCCCCCCATGAAATAGACAGAACAATAATGATATCCATTGCTGGCATAGAGGTGAGGTAAGGGTACTCCTACACTGCTCATGGAAAAGTGAATTGCCACCAAATTAGGGAAGTAGTTTGTTAATATCTATTATTTCCTAAAATATATATATACTTACTCTTACATGACATTGTAACATATATACTTACTCTTTAACCTAGCAGTCCCACATTTGGGGAGAGCAGAAATAAAATGCTGTCACAAAAGGAACTCTAAAAAGGATTTTTAGTGCAGCAGTGCCTGCAGAAATGGGAAGCAAACTAAATGACCATCAATAAGAACTTGTGGTCAATTTGTTGAATATGACACAGCTATTACAAAGAATGTAGTTCTGTCTACTGTGTGGTATGTGTGCATGCTCAATCGTATCTCTTTGTGACCCCATGGACTATAGCCTGGCAGGCTCCTTGTCCATGGGATTCTCCAGGCAAGAATACTAGAGTGGGTTGCCGTTTCCTTCTCCAGGGGATCTTCCCGACCCTGGGAT